AGTAAACCATATAGAATGCAATAGTAGTACACTGTCATTCATCCCGACTACCGTCACATCTCCCTGAGGTGCTAGGTTTCTGTGTGCAGATTTTAAAATAATGTATTTTTAACCGGCAACATGTTTGCAGGAGTAAAAATGCACCAAGCCTGCAAGAAGCTCTCCAAGGCCACCTGATAAAGTAAAATAAAATACAAATTGAGGGTCTGAACAGATTGCAAGAAATAATCCATTTTGAGACCACTTTAACTGTCTTGGCTCAGTGCTAGGGAATCATGGGAATTGTAGTTTTTTTCTGAGGCACTGAGCCTTCTCTCTCAGAGAGCTCTGGTGCCACAATAAACTACAGTCCCCATGATTCCCTAGCACTGAGCCAGGGCAGTTAAAGTGGACTCAAACTGGATTATTTTTGGCAGTCTTATTCAGAATCCTGAAATCCTCCAAAAAACTAAAATGTTTTTCATGGGTGCCTGAGAGAGAGAGAGAGAGAGAGAGGGAGAGAGAGTGACACCTTTGCTTTCTGATGGTTCATTGTATACAACCTTTGTTTCATGCACAAAATAAATAATAATAATAATAATAATAATAATAATAATAATAATAATAATAATAATAATAATAATAATAATAATAATAATAATAATAATAAATAAATATATTGTACTGTATAAATGCATAAATGCAGGCTATGTATACAGAAGAGCAAGGGAGGCTTAGGAGATCCCTAGGGCATCTGTAGCCCCGCCTCCCGTTCCAATAGCTCCGCCCCCCATTCAGAGAGCGAAGCCCAGTGAGTGACCAGTGTCTCCTTTCCCTCGCTCCGCCCCTCTTAGTGGGCGGGGCTTAAGGGCGTTCATTCATGCGGAGGGCTGGGTGGGCGTGGCCTGCGCCTGGCTGCTGCTTCTGCGGGTCTTTATGAATGGAAGCATCTCTTCAAGTGCAGCAGCGGCTCCAGAGGAAGGAGACAGAGCCAGAGCGAAGGTACCTTTACCTTGCGTGGGTGGCACACACCTGGGCAGGGCTTTCCCCCTCTCTTTTGCAAAACTCCCGGGACTTTTGGGTGGAGGAGGGAGATCAGGGCGGTGTCCTCGCCCCAAAGGAGGACCAGCCACTGCAGAATGGAGGACCTTCCAGGAAAAAAAAAAATGGAGGACGTGACCAAAGATAAGCTTTAAACAACAACAACAACCAATACTCATGGAAATTTAAATCCATGCTTCTTAGTCATGCTCAGAATGGAGGACGTTTTGGAATTCATCCTGGGATGGAGGACGCGTCCGGGAAAAGGAGGGCCTCCCTGGTTCACTTCACCCCACCCCACCCTGGGAGGATCTGTTACGTAAGTCTTCTGAGGGGAATCTGTTAAGTCGTGGCACTCTTTGGAGCAGATCAGGAGTGCAACCTGATCCTTTTAGGTATAAGGACCAGGCGCCCTCCTTTTCCCGGACGTGTCTTCCACTTCAGCCTTCTGTCCAAGAGGAATCCCAAAATGTCCTCCATTTTCAACATGACTAAGAAGCATGGGTTTAGATTTATTTATGAGTGCTTTTGCTTCAGGGGTCCTCTTTTTCCATGGCATGTCCTCCATTTAAGCCTTCTGTCCAGGAGGAATTTCAGAATGTCCTCCATTTTGAGCATGACTAAGAAGCATGGATTTAGATTATTATGTCTGTTTTGAGCGTCATAGTGACCAGGCGTCCTCCTTTTCTAGGACCTGTCCTACGTTTCAACCTTCTGTCCAGGAGGGATTTTCAGCCTGACTAAGAAACAGGAATGTACATTTATATGAGTGTTTTGAGCTTTTATTTTGCAACACCCTCCATTTTTCTTGAATGCCCTCCATTTTGCAGTACCTTGTCAACCTTTTGCAGTTAGGACATCTGCTCACCCTGCTTTTAGGCAGCATCCGCACTGTAGAAACAATACAGTTTGACACCACTTTTAACTATCACGGCTCCATCCTATAGAAACCTGGGATTTGTAGTTTGTTGTGGCATCAGCACTCTCAGACAAAGAAGGCTCACTAAACTATGAAACCCAGGATTGCATAGGATGGAGCTACAGCATTTAAAGTGGTATCAAAGTGCATTATTTCCACAGTGTAGCTGCACCCTTAAATCACTTTCCCCCCTCTCCAAAACAAGTCAAGAGAATAATTTCCCCATTTGTTTTGTTCCAGCTGTGTTATGAGAAGCGCATCTAGCCACGGTGAGGCACTGAAATCCCTGCTTTAAAAGAAGACACACTGTCTGGAGGTGGAATTGACGCATCTGATCAGGAGGAGACACACAAAGAGACCAAAAGGAGCATTTTGGGAGGTACTGTGATCCTGTTGATCTCTTTGGGGATCTTATCCATGCAGTGAGAGACTGGTTTGGGGAGAGAGAGGAGAAACCTCCCCCAGCTCCAATAGTCCTCTGAGGCTGCATCCACACTGCAGAAATAATCCATTTTGACACCACTTTAACTGCCATGATCATGCTCTGGAATTCTGGGAACTGCAGTTTGTTGTGGCACCAGAGCAAACAAAAACAAAAACAAAAACATCATATTGCAATTTGTTTTGTGGCTTTGGGTCCATCTATAATGTAGAAATAATGCAGTTTGACATCACTGTAACTGCCTGGGTTTCATCCTACAGAATCCCTTGGTTTGTAGTTTGGTGATGCACCAGCGCTCTTTGGCAGAGAAGGCTAAAGACCTTGTAAAACTGTAAATCCCAGGATTCCATAAACTGGAACTACAGCACTTAAAGCAGTGTTAAGCTGCATTATTTCAACAGTGTAGGTGCACCCCTTCTTGATTGATCACCATCACTGTCGATCCTGACCCTAAGGAGATTATCGCTCATCCTAAATAACACAATTTACTTCTTCCGAATTCAAGTTAATTCGTGCTGCATTTGGGTTCTACCACACATCTTTCCCCCCAAAAAAAACACCATCTGGGGACATCTCTTCTCCAATGCGGGTCCCAAGACGTGCTCTGGTGACAATTTTTCTAAATCGGAAGCTTCTGGGATGTATCCAAATGGTGTTTTTTGGGGAAAAAGATGTATAATAGAGGCCAGATGCAGCTTGAATTAGGCTTGAATTCAGGAGAGGTAAATCATGTTATTTAGCTGAGTGATAATCTCCTAAATTGGGAAGGCTGTTTGTATTTTCGCATCCTGCTCCTTTGTATATACTTCTGTTTCCTACACTTGAAACTTAAATAGGAGGAAGGGAAGGGGGAAATTGCAATGCAGCAGCATCTTTAAGACTAGATTTTATTTTTATTTTTGCATGAGCTTTTGTGAATATAAACCACTTCTTTGGATGCAGTACGGACTGAAACTGATTCCTATAGCTTTTTACTGGGAGCTATTAAAGCAGCTGTCCAGCATAAGTCAATAAGTAAGACTTAAAACTGTTGCTTAGTAAGAGGCAGTAAAAATATAGCTGGAAAACTGTAGCATTTATCAAATACGGTATCAAGAGAGCCAAAAATTAAAAAAGGTCACAGACTTATCCTGCTGTGCCGCAACAAATGAAAAGGTAGTGGTTACCTGACACAAAAGACTTCAAACTTGGCAATAGATGAGTTTCTCTACTGTGAAGTGTGTTCCAAAGCCAAGTTGTTACAAGTCACATTCAAAATCAGAAAGGAAATTTTGGGAAAGCTCTGAATACTCAGGCAGGTGTATTTAGAAAGAGGGATCATAAAAGAGGCTGAACCATTAAATGTTTTCAGCAAGGATCTTAAAAGATGCTTAGGAGTAGAACAGAAAACCTGTGATTGTGATAGTTGCAAGATGTTCTATTTGCACAGTTCTCATTTGTAACCTGACAGCTCTGTTTTGCACCAACTGAAGTTTTTCAATAGTCTTCAAGGTTAGTCCCACATTGTTGTTGTGTGCCTTTAAGTTGTTTCTGACTTATGGCAACCCTAAGGTGATAGGATTTTTTGGGTCTGAGAGAATGTGACTTGTCCAAGCTCACCCAGTGTGTTTCCATGGTTGTGCAGGGAATCGAACCCTGATCTCCAGATTCATAGTCCATTGCTCAAATCACTACAGCATACTAGCTATTTACCCCAGATAGAGTGCATCTACACTGTACAAATAATGCAGTTTGACACCACTTTAATTGCTGCAGCTCCAGCCTGTTACTTTCTGGAATGTGTAGGTTTAAAAGGTCTTTAGGGTGCTCTAGCAAAGAGTGGTGGTGCCTTGCAAAACTATGAATCCCAGGATTCTGTAGAATGGAGCCATGGAAGTTAAATTGGTATCAGATTGCATTATTTCTACAGCATAGATGCACTCATAGTTCCAACTATAATAGTACAGATAGACACTTGTGCAATACCCATCAATTGGCTGTCTCTGTCCAGAAATGTCTGTGTTGCTAATAAAAGGTGTTTTGTGCCACGTATGGCATGTCTCTTCCAAAGACAAGGCTAAATAACCCCTCCTCTTTCCGTGTCTAGAGATTTCAAGTCAAAAGTTTTATTACCGTTATGTTCTGCCGTGTGTGTGTGTGTGTAGTGTGCCTTCAAGTCATTTCTAACTTATGGTGGCCCTCAGGCAAACTTATCACAGGGTTTTCTTGGCAAGTTTCTTCAGAGGGAAATTGCCCTTCTAAGGAGTTTATCACATGAGGGAAATCCCGTGCGAAAACGGGGCTTTAAATTAGAAATAAACCGCAAAAGCGTTCATAATTTCACACAACATCACTGTTAAATTGATGTGAAAAGGAGGTTAAACCGAACGAAAACCCCTCATTTACGCTTCTTTTTACTTTCGGAAAAACCCGAAAGTAAAAATGAGGTGTTTTCATTCAGATTAACCTCCTTTTAACAGCACTTTCACATTTCACACAGAGCAGAACGGGAGAAATCCTGTTCATTAAAAGCTTCCGCTTTTGCGGCTTTTTTTCACTTTAAAGAGTGATTTTGCACGGGCTCCCCATGTGATAAACTCCTAAGGCTGAGACTTGACCAGGATTAAATAGTGAATTTTATGGCCAAGCTGGGATTTGATTCCTGCTCTCCAGATTCATAGTCCAACATTCAAACCACTGCACCATACAGACTGTCTTATATTCTGCCCTACTTGAAGCTTATCTTCTTATTCTGCCTAGCATTCTGGTATGTCTTTAAATATCTCCCACATGGATAGACAATGTATAAGTACCCAGTTTAATAGGACAGTTGTGGCTTAATATGTGTGAGATGTGAAAATATTGAAGATTGCTTAAATTCTAGACGTTGGTCAGTAATAGTCTCCAGAAGGAAGATTTTGTTGTCCTCCACTTGGTGTTCTCCAGTTGTGTACTGGTCATGCTGACTTGAGATAATGGGAATTGTCATTCAGTACATGTAGACAGGGTTGCAGAGGTGGGAGAACGCTGGAGCGAAATACTGATAATATTTTGAAGATGCTTTTTTATCCTTATTTTCAGTGAAGCTTTGTTTTTATGTTGTTTACTCTGGTAAATTAAAGTGGATTAATTTGTCATTAGAATTTACAACCATCATTAGATCCAACCAGTTTGGTTTTGTACCTTACTTTCTACATATTTAGATAAATACTGCAGCTACCTGTCAGTCAATTAAAAAAAAACAACCCAAAACCTCAAAAGTCACAGTAAAAAAATGGACCAAGCAAAATGTCTCAACAGAGTCTGTGAGCATGCTTTTGAGTTCTCTAAAATTGTTCTTTAGGCTGGAAATTGGAGCTTGGAAAAGTTGCTTTTTCAATATACAATTCCCAAATAGCCCACTGGACATGGTAGTTAAAGAAGTATGGGAGCTGTAATTTGCTCAAGCTTTGCTTGAAATAAAATGGAGAGAGGAAAGGTGAGAGATAAAGAAGCATGTGGTGTTAAAAGTTTTAGACTTTGCCACTTGTACCAATGATAAGACTGAGTTATGCGGACTTTATTAGATTGTCCTCTGCTGGGCACTGAGCACATTTCAAGTTGCTCCAAAGTCTATTGGAAATTGTGCCCTACTCTTTTCATATTTTTTGCCCGCTGTCAATGTTCCTACCCTTTGAGTTGAAGCAGAAAAGTGAAATGGGTCTTTCCAAAGCATAATCCTTTGGAAATCTTTATCCTGCCTCCTGAGGTTCTGTTGCAACAGAAATGGCTGGTGGATTTTCTGCTACAAGGATAGCAACTGGACAATTGATTTTAGCACCTGCAGCTGTTTACAGGTTAATGGAAGCTGTCCACATCCCAGGGGAAATCTTCAGCACTGGCAGAGCTCCTGATCAGCTTGGAATAGCTGTGGGAGGAGTGATGCGTAAATCAAAAGTAGATTCCCAGCCTCCTGCCAACAATTCCACTGGCCACCCTTCCATTGCAATAATAAGGATACATGCGACTTGAAGGCACACATACACACAAATACAGAGTTTATGCTATATTTGTTCTCTAATTTACTGCTGTGCTTTGGATTTGGATGGCATCTTTCTTCATCTTGTGTTTCTGGAATATTTTCTCTCCCCCTGGGGCTCATGGAATAACACACAGACTGCGCCCTTGGAATGTATATTGTTCAGTGTATTCCTGTTTCACTATTATCTTCATCTACTCTGCCTTAGTGATGCCCTGTAGAGTATTCCTAGCAATTAAAGAAAACCAGAAGATACTTCTGATGATGCATATTAACCTTGGCACTAGCATGCTAGCACTGAGGTGTTTGATTTTGTTTCAAGTCACAATCAATACTGTGAATTGATTGCAACCACTGTATAATTGCTATGAGGCATGGCCTTTATGTGATAGGTTAATTCCCCTCCCTCACTGCAGTCGAGGTCGATGAGTGTTTTCATGTTGACTCTGTGGAAGTCCAAAGAATCCCAATAGCATCAAAGCTATCACCAATTGAGAGCCTGCTATCCTGCTTTTGGGAAGATTGCATTGGAAATATTACTGCCATGCATTGACCAAACATTTTTGGGACCATCTTGTCACCACCAGAATGAGAAATGCATCTGTTTTAAAACTTGTGATTCTCAGGATTCTGGAAAAAACCACATACACCCAATTTTTTGCAGTTCTGTGCTTTTACTGCTCTTGTATATGGCACAGATTGCATACAGCCCTATGCAAAGCTTGGAAATGTTACTTTTTCAGGCCATTGCTCTCAAAACCCAAGCCAGCATGCAGTGCTGGCTGAGAGATTCTGAGAGCTGTAGTCTAGTATGGTAATTTATCCATGCATTGGCCCTATGGGTGTCCTAGGCTTTTTAACCACAAATACAGGAATCCACTATCTGGGCAAGCAAGCTTCCTTTTGTGTATGGAGAGCTTAGGACTGGCATTAGCAGTTGCTGCCATGTGCTATGGGCACTTGGTTGGCAGTGTGCACATAGCAGGGTGTATGTATTGTATTGTTCTGCAGCACAAATAATTGGCTTGAGACAGAAGTGGTATAAGGGAATTTGAAGGGATATTTCATCTGTAACAAGAAAAATAAATTCTGAGAATCCTATAAGCTTTATAGGACACTTAAGTCTGCACTTTTTTTGGGTACAAAGTACCTTTCCCTTGTGGCAAGGGTTGGATAACTTGTGGACCTCCAGATGTTGTTCTACCAGTCCTAGCCAGTATCTGGAGGGCCACAGGATGCCTACTTTGTCTCATTCTGCAATGTAGGGTTTGGCTGCTATGACAAATACATGAGTCCATTTTCACCCCTATTTCTGCACAGTGTATTCCATCGCTCCAATTTTTTGGCCTGTTTTGGGGCAAAAATATGGGTTTTTGATGGAATTTTTCTTGAGATTCATTAGAAAGCTCAGGAAGATAGGAGAGATTGATTTAATCTCACCAGCAAAGTGAACACAGCAGAAAATGCATGAGCAGGAAAATAAACTACTCCACTTTTATTCTCCCAGCCCCCATGTGTCTGTCTACCAATAAAGAACCAAGACAAAAGTCCTTAGAGTATCATAAAAAGATAAAATTACTTACAAAACCATATGCATATTGATACTCTGTTGTAGCTTCATGTTGCAAAGAAAATGAGGTAGAAAATAGCCTAAATGCTTGCAGAGAAAGTTTTTTTAGCAGCGTGCTAGAAAATCATGCTGCCCTGGTCAGAGGACAAAGGAGAAGGAGGAAGATAATGGCAATCTCTCCAGAGACAAAGAAAAGTGTGCTCTCTTAGGACCTTATCACACAGGGTCTAAAGCAGACCTAATCCAAAGGGTATCCGTAGCTAATACATATTATTTCCCCGTGTTTACACACGACATTACACCGAAACTCGACAGAACCCGGAGCTAATCCGTATTGTTTCTCCGTGTTTACACACGACGTTGCACCAAAACTCGACAGAACCTGGAGCTAATCCGTAACGAATTGAGATCTTTTGACATTCGGTTTTTCGGGAAGTACAAGGGAGTTTTCGGAATCATTGCGCAATGGCTGCGCAGGCGAAATTCAGTGCATTTCGGTTATAGAACTGAATTTATTCTTATTTCGGTTACTTTTCGCTTCGTGGCCAGCGTGTGATAAGGTCCTTAGAGAAGAAGGAAATAGACATGCATCTGTCTTTCTAGAAAGATTTCAGCATGCTTAAGTTGCAGAATCCCCAACAGTTTTGTAGGGGGCATTTGAACTTTTTCACATTTGAAAAGTTGGGGTTCTTTTAAGGTAAACCACTATGACTAGCTGATTTGGAGTATTTTGCCCTTCAACATTTACCGTTTTCTTTAGTGGCATTGGGGGAGTTGCAAAAGAGCCCTTTTGGGCCATAAGTGGCTATAGGGCTACACAATTTTCCTCCCCGGTTTAAAGCATCTTAGTTAGGGCATGTTGGAGCATACCCTTGTGATGATATTTTGTCAAAATAAGGTTGTTGTAGGAAGCTTGATGATACCATGGTACTTTAGCTGTTGCCTTTGACAAAGGTATTTGAGTTGGGAGAAGATATCAGAATTAAGAATGCCTAAATAAGAAATTAATGATAAGCAGGTGTTTTTGTAAAACTACAAATGATGTTTTTGTATAAATAGATGGAAGTGATAGTATTAGTGTTGGGGAGAGGTTTGGCAATTACTTTTAGTGTATCTGTATAACCTTGATCCTTCAGTCATCTATTTGGTACAGTTAGACATCATGATTTGTACACAAATGGGGAGGTGTACTGTTGGCATAGAAACCCTGTCTTACATGATTTGATTTCAGTTGGCTTGCTTCCCACTTACACCTTTAAACATAGGAAGCTTCTTCTTGGTAAATGAATGGGGTTATTCTATTCAGGACCAAATATTGAGGATCTATCTGTATTCAATAAGTGGTTTGGCAGTGTGCACATAGCAGGGTTCTATGCAATGATGCTGGCTACATGATCACAGAGCAGTCTCTGACAACGCTGGCTCTTCGGCTTAGTAATGGAGATGAGCATCTTCCCCTATGGTCAGACATGACTTGACAACATTGTCAACAGGGAATACCTTTACCTTGACCTTGGTGGTGATAATGATGGTGATGATGGATGTGTTGACATGAAGACAAGTATAAATCAGTTTGTTACCTTTATGCTCTCACTCTGACAATGTTATTGTTGAGTCTGGTAACCTCTTAGTTCAGATATCCAGACTTCAGTAGTAGGAGCCTGAACAGACTGCCAGAAATAATCCATCTTGAGACTACTTTAACTGCCCTGGCTCAGGGCTAGAGAATCATGGGAACTGTAGTTTATTGTGGCACCAGAGCTCTCTAACAGAGAAAGCTCAATGTCTCAGAAAAAAACTACAGTTCCCATGATTCCCTAGCATTGAGCCAGGACAGTTAAAGTGGTCTCAAACTGGATTATTTCTGGCAGTGTGTTCAGGCCCTAAAACTCAGAAAACTTTTATGTAACAACTAGAAATGTACACCAGAGACAGTTGTTGTCAGAACTAGACAGCAAGTGTTAGCAAAACATAATTAAAGTACATGCAATTTCAAATCTTTGACAGGCTACCTACTCATTTGTTGCAAAAGCAAAACATTATTTTCTTTTCCTCCTCCTTTCTCCTTTTGTCAGTGTTCCCAAGGGATTGATCTTGGATTTTCCTGAAGCTTCCACTTGCTCA